ACCAGGAAGGTGAATATTTCCGCTGGCATTTATAGTGCTATTCTTCAGTGCACATGAATTGTAACTTGAAATCAAATCAAAAAGAAGCTAAAAATAGACATAAACAGTGCTAAAAGAGCAGGGGGGAAATATGTTATATTTCACCCAACTAAAGCCAATTAATTCCCTGTAGGAATGCTGCAGTTTATATATAATATATGGTTTGTTTGTAGGTGAATTCAAGCCTATTGGAGCCAGTGGTGGCTTGCTCAAACAAGCAATGAGTTGGGCACAGAAATACAATGTATGGGAGTATGTGGTTGGTGGAAAGAAAGGCAGAAACAAACCTGCAATCACATTGAATGAAAAGAAAAATTTGACTAGAAAACACACAAAGAGAGGACACCCTGAAGTTGTTGTCATTGATGATATGCCATTACAAGTGAGTRACAATTTAATGCATTTTATTTAAAAATAATCTACTCAGGGTTTTTATTGTAACTGTACCCAGAGTACAAACATGATTTAGGAATAAAAATCCTAATATTTAGAATTTTAATTTTGMAGGAAGAAATGGTAGTTTTAACAAAAGAAGTTATTGTTCTTGATTCTCCTGAATCCAAAAAACCCTTGCATGAAATCCTACRTGGAAGAGAACCTCCTCACTCTTTTGCTCAATCAGCAACACCTCTCCRTCCACCTGATGAGTTTTGTAAAGGTCACAAACCAAGATTAACACTCTCCCAAGATATACCAAGTACAGGAAACTCACATGGTAAAYTACCTGTTCTCTGTTGTCTAATAGGGATATACGATATAGTCATGTGACCCAAATAGCAAATGATGATTGGACATCCACTTTATGAATTATTAATGAGTATAATAAATATACTAAATATAAAATTGAGAGTTCAACAATAMATGTATTCTTTTTTAGGAATTGTTAGGCATGACAAACAAAACCAAKCAAGTATCCCCTTCTATCACAGAGCAACACATTTTGAAAAATCCACCCTAAATACAGAATCTTCAAATAGCTCATTTACAGTTGGTAGATATTCACCATCATATGGTAAAGTGCGTATAAGGAAAGCCAAGGAAGCTTTAAGAAAGCCTATTTCAAGACAGCATAAAAGTACTGTCAGAGAGGTAACTTGTGATATTGTGTACTATTTAAAGCATTTCTTTTTTATAAATTTGAAAAATATTTCAAAGTACAATGTATATTACTGACAGGTTGTTAGGCTGGATGAAAAGCAACGTTATATGCAGTTATTATCACAATTCACCACATCTCCCCTAGCCCATGATAACAGCATGAAAGACAAAGAAAATCAGTCTATTGCTAGACATGACTTGACAGATGAGATAGTATTCAGCARACCACCTGTTTCTCAAAGAAATGTTATCAGGTATGTCAGTTTCTCTTTTCTTTTTCTTTTGTTTTTGTTAGTGTATTGACTATATCTTAACAGTAATGCTTGGCTTTGGTTTTGTTATAGACAATCTGATCAAGCTGTCCTATCAACAAGATCAAGCTTACTGCCAAGTCATTCACTTGTCAGAGAACCAACTGTAGTAAAAGTGAATCTGTCCCTGGACAGGACTCACATTCCTAATAAGCATGTTGAGGATCTCCCCAGCATATACTCCAAAACAAGTAATGTTAATATTCATTATTTTATATTTCATTTTACACTTTGGACATTTCAGAGGATTTATTAAATTCAAACATTACTTTCTCCAGTTTATTTTTGTATGCCATTCTCAGATGAAGGTTAGGAATTTACAGTAGAAACATCTTTTCAAATAAACRTCTGTGAGTGATTGATGTAGGCATCTGTGTCACAAAGATGTTCAAAACAATTTACAGTCATTAGCTGCCTGCTAYTAAAACCCCTGAACACCCTCAAAACCTAATACCTCAATTTGTTTCCATTTTAGAGTCGTTAGAATTAGAAAATAGCACAATTGTTCCACCAACATCTAGGTAAACTTTTGATTGTTCATTATGCATTCCTATCGTAATCTTGAATTCCATTCAAATGTTAAAATTATATTAATATAAACATTTTGAATTATCTTATGTCAACTTTTGTCTTTTCTCCTTTTCATTTCATTCACTTTTTTGTTCTTTTTCTACTCTACTTTTAACCACTATTTTACACTGATTTCCACTCATCTTTTGAAATTACAATGTAACATACAATGAATTGTTGCTATACAGGTCTCAAAATCAAGATTGTCTGATTAGTGAAGAATGGACAAAAAAATGGTACATTTCAGACCATGATACTTTATTATAATTTACAGATGTGTAATATTATATTCTGATCCCTTTATCTTTTTTCAAATCCCAACAAAAATGTTTATATTTATTGGGTTTGTTTATGTGAAAATATCAGGAAAGACATTTTGAGTGAAGATAACCTCTCAAGAGAAAGGGAAAATGCAAGAATTCAAAGAGAAGAGAAAAGGCTTCAAGAACTAAAAGCCAAGGTATGGCTTATCATCATTGCGCTATTCTTTGACAGATACAGATAGTAACTGTGAGTCTTGATATTTCTAGAGAAAAGAAGAACGACAAGCTGCTGTGGAAGAGGTAAAGATGTTGAAATTATTGATTGCACAATACTTGCTCACTTATGGCCATATTTATTATTGTATTATATTTCAAAGCTGAAGGCAAGGCTATATCATGAAGAGGAGGAAGAAAGTGAAGAGGTATGCTTGCTGTACAAAATACTTTAATAATAGTGTTATCATTGTTTCTCAAGTTAATGTCAATTCTGTTGACATTGCAGGAAGAAGATGCCGAAGAGTTTCCTACCCTGACAGATGAAATAGAAAGAGAGGTGTGTTTCCTGTTTTTTGTATCATTTATGTTTTTTATCCCACATATCATATACAATTAATTTATTTTGTGTTAGATTGATTGTGCCTTGGGCCCAGGAAACCCTAGTGAAACCTTGGCTGACGGAGGCAAAGTGTCTGTAACACGTGGTGATATGGTAACCTTAAGCAACCTCAACTGGCTCAATGATGAGGTAAATAAACTAATCCCACTCCCACTCCAGCATTAAACAGTAATTGTGGCAACTGATATTTTTGTGAATTGCTAGGTAATTAACTTCTACATAAGTCTCATAACAGAAAGAAGCAAGTCCCCTGTGAGTACCAAACAAGATTTTACTTTTATTAACATGATGTTAACAACAGTCTATTCCAACTTAACAGGGGTATCCTAAAGTTCACTCCTTCAATTCATTCTTTTACCCAAAACTAATCAAGACTGGATATGACAGCTTAAAGCGCTGGACAAGAAGGGTAAGTTATGCTGATTAATGAAATTGCAAGGAGTAAGCGATTTGTTTTATAACCCTAGCATATGATGGTTTTCCATTAATAACATACAGCAATATGCAGAAATTATGATCATTTTGACTCATATTCCAAGTGTGCATAAAATATATCAGAAATTATGAGATATCATCGCTGATATTTTTTTGAAGTTGCCTAGCACAAGCACTTTCTGAAAAAAAAAACAATATTGTTGATGATATCCCATAATTTCTGATATATAAAATATGTACTTGAAATATATGTCAAAGTGATCATAATTTCTTAATATTGCTGTATTGTAAACATATTATTAAAAAGAATATATTTCCTTTTAAGAATGACTGAAACTTCCTTTTCTAGGTTGATGTATTTCAATTTGACATCATCATTGTGCCAATTCATCTTGGTATGCATTGGTGTTTAGCAGTAAGTTGACTAGTCCATAAATAAATCAAATCAATCTTAAAATAAATKTTTCTTCACATATTTGTTCACTGCATTGTGTACATTATAATACTGGTGATTACAAGAATTGAGCGATGCTTAGTTAAAAGGYAGTGTATCTGTCCAATGGGTTTGTAACCTTTCAAGAGATGTTACTCAGGTTACTTGGCCAATGGATCATTATCTGAGCCATGTACATTTGAAAATGTAAGAGGGTGTGCCAAAGGAAGCAATTGTGGTGCCTATATTTGTTGTTTTTCATTTGTAGGATTGATAAATGAACTATATTGTATTGATTATGGAGCTCTTTTCAAGTGTGTGTGGATTATTGACCTACGTTCTTAGAATCATCAATTACTGACTATCCAATTCCATTTCTGCCATAGGCTATTGATTTTCGCAATAAAACGATTAAATACTATGACTCTTTGAAAGGACCCAACCCACAATGCCTTGAAGCCCTCAAGTAAGTACATACTAATTACTATAAATTAAGACAAGTTTGAGATATTGTATGCTTGTTATCACTGAAGTGAAATTCAAACATTCTTTATTTCTTATGTGTTTCTCATATGTACAAGAATCGTTACCGAGCAGGACAGCAACCAGGGTTTGTCTTCCCAGTAGCATGCTACTGAGGGTAGTGTGGGGAATATAGTAACCCTGCCAACAAGCCAACCTTGTGAACTATAAAAGGTCTTAGACAGATCAACTTCTCTCTTTACAGAAAATACCTTTCRCAAGAATCAATGGATAAAAAGAAGACACCTTACGACACCTCTGACTGGACTTTATCTTGTCCAAAGGTAGTGTTCTTGCTCATATGTTGAGACTTTGTTGAATATTGTTTCACTAATGTTTTTATKTCGTTAGGATATTCCAGAACAGCTGAATGGATGCGATTGTGGTGTGTTYGCTTGTAAGGTATACAGCATGTATTTAATATGTAGTAATGTTATTAAGAATAGGACACGTAACACACTGGACAACTCTTCACGTCATTGTGAAAGAAGTACTGTAACTGTAGTC